TTTGCCAGCTTAAAAAGAGCTAGAAATATTTGAACATCCTTAGTTAGAATTTGTTTTGCTTAGAACTAAGCTATCCTCTTAATTTATGCCACCCTTTAATTCTATCTTTTACCTTATTTCTTTGTTGCTTGGGGAATGTTTTGTACCTCTTGTACCAATCTACTAATTCCCTTTCCAATTCTTTCTTCCTTAGTTCTCATTTCTTTTTCATTTTTTCCCCTTTGGTGCTCTCTTTTCATTTATAAAATCACTTTTACTTTTTCTTTTTTTTAAAACTCTCACCACATGTTTGTTTGTTGGTTGGTTTTCCAGGAATTCTAGTTGAATCTGTGGCCAAGTTATGTTTTCTTTGAGGCTTTGCTTGTAGATGTTTTCTAGGTTTGTGTTCTAAGCACAAACTTCTGAGTTTGTGTCTTCTGTTACCATAATAGCTTTTTATGGTGGAATTTTGTTGTTGTTTTTGTTTATTTGCTCATTCTTCCAGCCTGCTTCCTGACTAGATGCAGTGTTAAGAGCCAGACTCAGGGCACTTCCATGGGGAAGTTCTGGGCTGCCCTGTTGTTACTTTTTCTGAGAGACAGGTCAGCCTGAGGACTTGCAAGCTTTCTTTGCTTCTAGAGTACTCTGATCCAAGGCAGTCTATTCAGTTTTCTCTCTGTCTGAGCTCTGCAGGTTTCTGACTTAGGTTTGGGTCTGATCAACAGATCTGGGCTGCTGGGCTCAACCCCTGTCAAACATCTCAGAAGTTCTGTTGATTTAGAATGACAGAACTGCATACTCTTCTTTGGGCTGGATTTCTGCCCTTGTTATTCCTCTTAAGACTCTGTCCCACCCCCCAGTCTCTAACCAGGACAGTCCTCCCTGGATGTTACTCAGAACTGGATAGTTGGCAACAAATCTGCCAGGTAGTGGCTGTTCCCCTATAGGTGCCCCAGTCTGGGTCTGAAAGTACCCTGGTACAGGTCTGGGATCTCCTTTTGCCTGAGTGCACAGCCCCTCCCTAGTGCTAAAAATTTCCATATTGTTACTGCTGGGCAAACCCTTTCTCCAATGACCATAGGCATCTGTCTCCTTATGCCAGCCTCTCGTGGAAAAATGAGTCAGTGTGACTTTTACTTAGATATCCCCGTAAGGATTCTGTCTGGTGCATTTTCTAGATCTGTTTGGAAGAGCTTGCTGTTCTACCATGCCACCATCTTCTGCTGTTTTGGCTACATCTCCCCATAAAAGCCACACTTGCCACTTGCTTCTGAACTTGCTTTTCTCTCTCTGTATACTTCCTAGAGCCTGCCATGCCACAGAACACCTCCCTGGGCCCAGGCCAGTCTTTCCTGAATCTGTGACCTTGAACTGGGTATAGTGGATGACAAAGCTGCCAGCTTTCACATGTTCATGATGCTCATTTGGTTCATGATGCTCATTTGGTCTGGAAGAGTAATTTACCCCAGGGCACTGATTCAAATGAACACCTTCCCCTTTCAAGTCCTGATAATTTATAATCCAGCAAGGGGGTGTACCAGGATTCCAAAGTGAAGTGCCAGCTTCCTCTGTACTTGCTTCTAGGTCTCCCCCCATATCTCTTTCTCTGGATATAGGGAAGCCAAGAGAAAAATTAAATCACTGAGCAAATGAAGAAGTACAGGGATCCTTTCCTCCCTTCAAGGTCGTGGTGAAGGCCTGTAATTGCTCCTGGGGGTAAAAAAATATATCTTACTCTCTCCCTCTCCTCTTCTTCCCTATTGACCCTTGGTGGGGAGGGGAGATATCCTAAGTTTCAGACAGCTTAAGTAAATACATTGTGAATAGCACTGTAGCTATTTCTCTGCCTCTCTCTGCACCCTTTTGGAACATTGCTTCCAAATACTAGGAACCCAGTACTGGAAGAAGTCTCCTAAAGAAGTACAGATGAACTTGTCCTACCTACATCTGTTCCCTGGGGATCCCAGTGGTCTTATCTTATACCCATGTGTACTCTCTCCTGCCTCTACCCCCTAGTTGCCTTTGACTCTCATACAGTTTATTAAGCACCTCATATGTACCAGGGCTGTGCTAAATTTTTTTTTCTAAATTTTCTTCTAAAAAATATCTATTTTATTGATAACCATTAAAATTCTAGGGGGAAAAATGGGGCCCAGGACAAAGATACATTGATCTTTCTGATGGCAGTGTGCAGGACAGATTCAAGTAAGGGAAAAGTGGAAGCAAGGTAGAATTAGGGGGGAATAAGGCGAAAAGGGCCTAAAACTACTATGGCAATAGTAATGGAAAAGTGATCATTGTTTATTTTATGATCTGGTAAAATTGTGATATCAAAAATTAGGATTTTATTTCATGCTATTTTGTCTCCAATTACCATATGACATTGAAAATTAATTCTATCTAGCTTTATAGTTCCTTTTAAAATTAGAAGACCAAATTTTGAAATTTTAGGTCTTGATTTTAGTCTTAAGTGAGATGAAGGATCTGATATTTCTCATATTAGCTTTCTTCCACATTGCCTTCAGTTTTGATTATGTCTCAAGAGAGTGATTAGAAATTTTGTAACTTATGTTCTAGTATTTTTCTTATGCTTTTCTCTAGACCACGGGTGGGGAGCCTGGGGCCTCAAGCCTGCAATTTCCCCACGCCTGCTCTAGACAGTGTCATCAGTTTAGCAGTATTGTATGTTATTAAATATCTGTGAACATATTTTCTTTTTTGAAAGGGAAGAGGGGCCAGACCTGTGGTATGATGGTGGAGGAATTCTTGTCAAAACAGGCTCTGCATTTCAGAGAGTTGCTTGGGGCATTGAGAGCTTGTGACCCATTCAGAATCACCTAGCTGGTTTGTGCAAACGTGAGACTTGAACCTCTGTCTTCCTGACCAAAAGAGGCCAGGCCTCTATCAATTACAACACAGAACATATTTTCTCACAGAAACATTAGAAATGATTTCCCAAAAGCCTAATTTAGTTCTTGAATGTACCTGAAGCATTAAAAACAATAGTTCATATTGCTTTATGGATTGCAAAGAAATTTCTTCATTGCTATGGGCTATTCTAATTGTAAATTTTCAGTTACTTTTTATAGTATTGTTGCTTTTGGGAGATGCATACAAAATTTCAATTCAAGCTAGTTATGGCATAACCTTGGAGGTGGGAAGACCTGGGTTCTGACACATACAGGATGTCATTTTCCCAGTGTTCTGACATTAATGTGGCTCAATGGGGGAAAGGGATTGAAATTATCAGGGCACATAACTTATAATAGTATAATTTTCTTTCAGAGTATAACATTACTAACAGTAGGTGAATTGTCATTTTATTATGTGATCTTAATATCTTTCTAATATATTATGAAAATTAAATTTACCCAATGTTTAAAGGCTCTAGACTTGAAAACTTTCTCATTATCTATTATTCAAAAAATAGGTAAGGCTTTTGACCCAATTATCTCCTTAGAGACCAAAGTTAAATAAAATTTTCTAGGTAATCACCTGTTTGAATTTTGTTTTGCTGGAGAAGAAAAGTCAGTTTCCACAATAACTTTAAAGAATACAGAAAGCACTTCTAAATCTTCAAGACAAAATATTTTGGTTAATTACAAGGAGAAACAGATACAGACCTGGTATAGTTTCACAGGGGTTTGTAAGTTGCTTTTCAAGGCAAAAGAACATGTTTCAAAGGTATATTTGTGTTTTCTGATTTTGTTTTCCTGAAACATGGCTTTCAACAATCTTGGTCACAGTATTCTAAGAGTTGATTCTAGAGTTGACCTTATTGGTCATCTAGTTCAACTTATACTTGAAAAAAGAATGCTCACTACTACACAGCTGACAAATCATATCTAGCCTTTCCTTGAAGACCTCATATGAAAGGGGAATCAACTGTTTGCCAAAGTTCATTCCACTTTAGGATAGAAACACATGTTGTAAGTGCAGTAGCACCTTATAGGTAAGACCAGATTTAGCTTCAAAAAACAAAACAAAACAAAAATGACCATAACTGCATACAGGATCATAGATTTAGCATGAAAAGAATCTTTCAAATATAAATTAGAGTCGTCTAATCCAATTCCCTTATTTTACAGATGAGGAAACTGAGCCTTAGAAAAGTTAAATATTTTATGCAATGACATGCAGATAATAGCAGAACAGAGATTTGAAGTTAGATCCTCTGACATCAAATCTAGGGTTTTTTCCATAGCGCCATGTTGTAAAGTGTTTGGGGGAAAATGCTTTTAAGTTGTTTTAATACTTTTGTTCATCCAGTTGAAGTTTTCTTCAATTCCTTATCATCATTTCCTCTTTATGAAGTAGGAGTCAGGATTTGTGCACTAAGGAAATGATTAACGTGATACCCAATATAGTATAGCCACATGAATATAGGAAAATACAATGTTTCCATCCCTCTCACTGGCCTGCTTGTCTGGCAGATGTTTGTTTTTGCTATCAAAAACACTCAGGGAAGCCAGACTAATAAGTAGTAATATCAGACGTAAATTTAAAAGTATTTGCTATGTGGTAAATTTAGATCTAATATACAGTAAAAAAAAAAAAACAACAACAAAAAGATAGGATACTTTGAAAGCTGAACCTGACAAAAAGGACATTATATTGCATGTGTCTGTCTGTAACAGCAAGCTCACATTTTTTTAGTTACCTAAAGGTAGGTGATTTGTTTGAAGTTTTGTTTTAACACACACAGAACAAGACTGGGAAGATTAACAAAGTTTTTGTAAAAACTTTTGCTACAGAGATTGGGTTTGTTTTTAAGTTACGACTAAAGTTTAGTTAAGACTAAATCCTATACTTTGTTTCTTTTATTCAGTGAAATGAAAATCTATATATCTGTTTAGTAGCGGTTAAAAAGTTGGATTTATACTGTACTTCATTAGCCTTATTTATTTCACAGTGGCCCTTGAGTTAGGTACTCAATATGCCTCCAAATCTATAAGATTTAAAATTTTCAAAAAGTCTCTTAATATTTTCAAATATTTTTTGTAAAAGAATCATAAGCAATCTTCCATGAGTCTTAGTATTTTTCTCTTGTATAAAATACTTAAAATACAAATTGTGATATTAACAAAAGCATTTTACAAGGATTTTAGTTTGCGAAGAAATTTTTTTTTATGTTTCCCTCCACCCCTATTTTGTGGTGCTTATTCACATATGTATATTTTTCCCATAAGAAAGTTTGAACCTTGAACTTATTATCAAATTGCAAAATGTGTAATTTGGCTAGAAATATTTTAAAACCACATGGCACTTTTTTGTATGTAAAACGAAGACAAAACCATACTACTTGATTTCAATTTTTAGTTTCTATAATCCTAAACAAGATTAAACCTTAATCAAATTGAGCTTATCTTCATGCTACTAGAGAATAAATTTTATGTTAAATTTTCCTGGTTAGAAATATAAAAACCTTTAAAACCATTTCACAAAAGAATCAATTATTTTGAATTGATTTGTAAAGAAAAACTAAACTGATACCTAATGGAACTGTATTTATCAGTTTTAATTCCAAACTGAAATCTAGTATCTTTATTAGTACTGCTTTTTTTGCCATTATTTTTCAGATCTCAGTCTCCTATGTTCTTATATCATTAGATCTAGTATTATGATGGAAGGTTATATGGCACTGGGCTAAGATAATTAATTCAGATGGCCAGTACTTATGATTTGTTAAATCATAAAACCCTTTTGGACTCTGATGTATCTGTTGTGTGAGCTAAAAATAACAACTTCCTAAAGAATGTTTTAACTGTAAGAGGAGGTACTGAAACCATAATAGCTTAGAAAAATAGATCATCAAATATAGAAGATACCAAGAACAGAATATACTTTTAATAATACATATTTTTCTCTTTTTTTTTTAATGCTAAGAACTTTAGCTGTTTAAAGCACTGTTCATGTTTTAAATGTCTCTATCAAATGGAGAAATAGTTTTTACAAGAAAACACTTTTCACAGTTGTGGCAGTGCCAGTCAGTTAAGTCCCAGTAGTCTACAGTTCATGTATTTTATATTGTAGATTCATTATCAAATATTTTACTTTTCAAAGTCTGCAGATTGTGCTGGATAAAATTCTCTGTTCCTTGAATTTCAGAGAATCTGTAATCACTCTTCCTGGAAGACCAGTTCTTCATTTTTATTGAATTTTGAATAGTGTCCGATGTAAAGTAGTAAATTATAGGGTCAAAACAACAGTTTGAAACTGCAATACAGAGAGTGATTGGATACATAATCCTGACTGCAGCCACCACTGAGCAGTTAACAAACGTTTGTGTTCTCATAAGAGAATATAGTATCAAGTTGATGTTGTATGGTACAAAACAGAAACAAAATATGATCAAATGAACAAAAATCATCTTCAAGACTTTAGTTTTGTTGAGTTTGCTTCTACTTAGAGTAACTGGTTTATTTAAAGTCTTTAACACCATACTGGAACAGGTTACATTTAAGATTAATGGAATAAAAAACCCCACTGTTTCGATGAAAATTACAATCCTTGAGAGATAGGTTTTCCACGTGGCTTCCGGAAAATTTTCAAAGCACGCTTCTTCAGTCGAGTTTTTGCCCTGAGAGTGGGTAGACTGAAAAAAGACTGCTGGTGCACTGCCACCTATCACAGTCAGCCACACAGAAAAACAAACGATTTTTGCATTTTTTTTGGTTCGGAGAGTCTTGGATCGAAATGGGTAGAGAATAGCCAAAAACCTGTCTACACTGATACAAGTTAAGAATAGAATGCTTCCATACATATTTGTATAAAACAGCATGACTGAAATCTTGCAAAGTACATCTCCGAAAGGCCAGTTTCGGGTAGCAAAGTAAAAAATCCGGAAAGGTAAGGTAAATACGAAAAGCAAATCCGACAGTGCCAAATTAATCATATATGTAGTCGTTTCATTTCGCATTTTGAGTGTGCATAAGAAAATGTACATGGCCACACAGTTCGAGATTAACCCCAGCACAAACACCATGCTGAACATGCACCCATACAAAGTATACTTAAAGGAGTCATCATAGGAACAGTTGGAACTGTTAGTGCTTACCATTATAAAGGTGCTTTAGATTTACAATGTAGAAATCCTAACTGTAGCAGTGTCCTTTTCCTCCTTTTCGTATTCAAATGATGATCACTTTATAACCTGTAATTTATTTGCAAATGTTTTGGGTCTTTGGATGGCTTCATAAGTATATCCTTTGCCTCAGAAATCTCCCGAAAAAACATGAAATTTGGCTGTAAAGCTGAAGTCTGGTTCCTCAAAGGGAAAGCATTCTTTTCTTCCAGGAGTCACTACAAAAAAGCGGGGATCCAAGACTGGCTCGTTGAAAGAATCCTTTTTTTAGATAGCGAGCGAAGTCATTCTTTAAGAGCATGAATTTAAAGTGAAGAGCTGTGGTTTGCCTCTGTTTGAAATCCTGTATTTCATGAATGAAACAATTCAGTGAAACAAAATTTCAAAGCTGATTTAGCAAAAGAAAAGTTAAACTTTAAAAGCTACTTACAGAAGGTTTAGAAAGTGAAGTGCTTTAAATATTCTCACTTGGTCTCATTCCTTTTAAATAAGTTTTCCTTTGCTACCCTTCAGGCGTGCTGATCTTAGAAAGGGAAAAGCAAAGCGAGTTCAGAAACAATTCCCAAAAGTTGCTTGCTCCAGATGAATTGAGAAGTATTCTCCAGTTGCTTGCAGCATTGTGTGTGCTTTCTCAGAACAGAAGAGGAAGGCTTGCTGGGCTTGTAGTATGACATCACAGGAAGAAGAGGCTGGGTTTGGACAAAGAATGGTTCCCCAACCTCCAGTGCTTGCAGTTTCTTTAATCTGATAACGTGTCTGCTAGGAATATACCTTGGAGGCTTGCTAATGATCCTGGGCTCCCTTTAGAAGGCAGTTCTTTTAAATTTTTACTCTTGGAAATGCCTTCTAGGATGCTGGCAGTGTATCCTTTGCATCTTTTTTTTTCCTTTCAAGTAATATTTTAAATTCTGAAGTAATTGCTAAAATTTAGTGAAAAACCAGTCTCCCACAATCTCATAAATTTGAGAAGTTAAGTTTAAATCCTGTAGCGGTTTTCATTAACTATGTATTTTCATATTTTCAAATTGAAATTATCAGTGAACCATTTCCTTTGTCTTCGAGTATGTTTTACCAGTTCAGAGTAAGGCATAGGATTTTTAATTTGCTCAATGACTGCAAATAAAAAGTAAAAATTTAAGTTTCAGGCATAAATAAGATTTGAGTTAGAAATTATTTGTAGTTAATACCTTCTTTGATTTCTGTTTTTCTAAATGTAGATAAAATTAACTGACTATAGCTATTGTTGAGATAAAGGTACTCTATCAATCAGTTTAATACTGGTAAAGAATATTCTCATATAGCCTTTTATCACACTTGAAATAAGGTTAATATTTAATTGTACAATGTTATGTAGGTTTGTTAATGTACTTTCATCAAATAGAACTAAATTCCTATGGAATTTTGTTTCCTTCCTACTCCCCATTTTTCAACTTATAAGTTATGTTTCTTATGAACTCCTATTTGAGAGTATAGATTTTCTTGTAATTTTGAAATAATTTGTGAATAATTTCAAGATATCTTTATAGTTGAAATAATTCCATATAAGGTCTAGAGGACAAATCCAGAAAACAGAATATTAGTAGAATGCTTTATCGTGAGATGGAATTTCCATAGATATTAATATTTTTCAAATTTCTTCTCTCAGATAGAAATTTTTTTTTGCCTATTTGGGATTGACATTTTTCAGTTGCAGCTTGGCAGAGTTTTGATTGGGGGAGAAGGGCTTGAATTTTTGGTGGATTTCAAAGGGAATCCAGTAAGATCAATATCTAATTCTTTTTATGCTAATTAATTAATCAGTTAAAACAAAGTTGTTTTGTGGGGCTGTTTATTTTTGGAATATTAATAGCCCTTCTTTTTGCCATGTGGCTGAGGTATTATTTAAAATGGCATCTTTTGGCCTCTGTTCGCTAAAATATCCTATTCCTGCAACAGTCTTTTATCTCATACCTACAGAGTGCTAGATGTTGGGGTTACTGTGACAAAAAAACAGTGCTCAGGGAGTTTATCGTAGGGATGGGAAGCAGAGTTAACGGTGAACACAGGTAAGTAAGGAGAGTGATAAGACTCGTCTCCTTTGGGAGATTGTCGTTAAGTCTAACCTTGGAGAAAGCTAAAAATGCAAGCCCAGAGTAAGGAGGGAGTGCATTCCAGACATGGGGTTTAAATCACATGTGCAGTGATATGGAGACATGAGATGAACTCTCTGAGGAACCATAGGTGGGACAGTTTGGCTGGAATGTAGAGTGCATGAAGGGAGAGAAAGGTGTGTGGAATAAATCTGGAGATATAGATTGAGTACAGATTGTGAATGACTTTAAATTTCAAACAGAGAAGTTTGCATCTTTCCTAATAGCATACTGGAAGGCTCATTAAAAAATATTGCTGCTAGCACTTTGAAGTTGCTTTATGAGTTAGATTGTACAAGTAAACAATAAAATGATGGTCTAGATATCAGTTCAAGACATTGCTAGGGATATAAAAAACAAAACAAAAAAAATCCTTGCCTTCAAGGCGCTTATATTCTACTGAAGAGATACAACATAGACAAAAATATAAAATAATTTGAAAAGGTGGAGAACATGGCCAAATATTGCTATCAGGAGGATTTCCACAGGAATGACATCTGAGATAAACCTTGAAGAAAACTAAGGATTCTGAGATGCAGAAGTCAGGAGAAAATGCATTCCAGAAATGTAGGCTGGTGCAAAGTCATGGAGACAGGATGGAATGCTAAGTTCTTAAAGCAGCAAGCAGACCATTTTGGCTGGAATGTAATTTTTTGTAAGGATAGTGATGTGAATTCAGTTAGGAAAAATATCTTGGAACCAGGTAGTCAGTAAGAGAAATCTTCAGAGGCAATAGGAGCTGTTGCAGATTTCTTGAAAGATGTTTATAACAACGATAATTTCAGTTTCTTTCATTATTGATCTGTATTATCTCTTTTGTCAGCCAAGTTACATTGATGACATATAATGCTAGAAGTCATCTCAAACCCTCGTGAAATGCTGTCTAGCTATGAGTCTCTCTCACCTTGTATTTGTGCAGTTGATTTTTGAACCTAAGTGAATGACTGTATAACGATCTTGATTAAATATCATGTATCAATTTTAAATCTTATATGACCCCTAAAATCTGTCGTATTCAGTAGAGATTAAATTATATTTTTTGAGACAATGAGTTGAGTTGTTTTGAGTATTGAAACAAAAGCTATCAATCAAGTAATAAACATTTATTAAGTGCCAATTTTGTGCCAGCATAGGGGCATCTAAGTAGTACAGTGGATAGAGTGCTGGGCCTATAGTCACAAAGACTTTTCTTCCTCAGTTCAAATCTGACCTCAGACACTAACTGTGTGACCCTGGGCAAGTTACTTAATCCTGTTTGCCTCATTTCTTCATCTGAACATGAGCTGGAGAAGAAAATGGCAAACCATTCCAGTATCTTTGCCAAGAAGACCCCAAATGAGGTCATGAAGAGTTGGCCGTGACTGAACAGCAATCATCTCAGAAATGTAAGCCCTTTAACCTTGAGTCAAACATGGCTAGAAATTGGTCCCAAGGCTTCTGGCCCTCATTGTACTAAAATAACCATTAAATTGGCATATAGACTTAGAAACATTTAAAATAAAATAAAGCCTCCTTATCCTATGATATAATACTCATGGATTATTTCTATTTAAAATTTATAATTTTACTTAATAGAAAAGGAAAAGGGCTATGGACCTTATACAAACATTATTTCTTTGAATAAAAGAAATACCAATGAAACCTTTTGAGCCTAAGAAATGAACTTTTCTAATTGGTGTAGATTAAATCAGTTTATTTCATTTAATTTTTTTTTATTATAAGAAGACAAGACTCATTGCTTCTTAAACTTTCTTGGCCTATTCTATTTGCTAAGCATAGACTGTTTCCTGGTATCATCTGAAAGTGATTGGGCTCCCTTTGTTGGTGACACAACCCTTTACTAGGCTTTACAGAGCATGAGTCATTTTCCAAAGTTCAAAGAAGGCATAAATTATACTGTATTTACTTTCATTGGGGCAGAGAGTTAAGGAGGTATGACTTGAAGAATTAGTGCTGACTATAGTAAAATGAAGTGGCTGGGAGAGATTGTAAAGAAAGGTTAGACAAAGTGGTCAAAAACAAAAAGATGTGCATGGGGGTTTTAATGTAGGTAAAAGATTTAGTACTTCAAATAACATTTGTACTTTATTTGTGCAATTTAAATCAAATCCATACTCCTAATCCTGGCATTTTAAGCTGTCTCTAATCTTTTTGCTCTCCAACCTTGTGTCCTGTTATTGAACCATAGCTTATAACTTGAATATTATCTCTGTCTCTATATTCAAAGTATCTTGTATATTCTCATGTCAGTAAACTATAGTCTGTCTGAATCTGTCATTTCACATTTCCCTAAAATTAATTTCCCATCTTGTCATTACTGTTGATTCATCATGCTTAGCCCTGCTTCTTTTAATAACATGACTTCTACTTCCGTACTCTATGTCAAAATGTGTGGAATACATTTCCACTTGGGGGAAGAGATGAGAGAGTAACATGGGAAAAGAGAAGATTTAGTGGGGACCTGTCAGCTGTCTTCAAATATTAAAAGGGCAATAATTTAGAAGAGTGGTTAGATTTCTTTTGTTTGGCCTTCAAAAACAAAACTAGAATCCATAAAAGCTACAGGTGGCTCAACTGAAGGGAAAAATTCCCAAAATGAGAGGTTTACAAAAGATGAATTGGAACGTACACTGAAATCCCTGTTACTACAGGTTTTTGAGAAGAATCTGGATATTATAGGACATTTATACTTTAAGTACAGATTGGAACAGATAAACTCTGAGCCCCTTTAAGTTGTAAGAGTCTACTGTTTTGGCATTACAAAGAAATGCTTTTTACCATGACTGTTGACTTAGAATTTTGTGTAAAATAGGGTTATTTATCAGTCCTTAGCTTTTCCTAGGCATCGGTCTTAACAGATTCTAAGCATTAGAATGGCAGAACAATGATTTGTTAAGGCAGAAATAGCAGGAAATAATAACTGATGAGGTAGGAAGTCGAACTAGAAAAGGAAACCAAAACCAAAGAAGTGCAGTTTGGGTCCATCTAATAACTGTCTTAATATTTGACCTAGATAACCATGAATTTGATTCCTATAGCACAGTACAACACAGAATCGTAGAATATATTATTGTCAGAGCTGGAAGATACTGTATATATCTAATTTAGTCTCGTTTTATAGTTCAGTAAATTGAGGTCCAGAAAATTTAAGTGACTTGCTAAAGGTCACAGTAGAAGTTAGTGACAGAATAGGACTAGAACTCTAGTTTCCTTACTTTACAGTGTTCTTTCCCTTATCTTTGAAGAGATTTCATCATCCTTTTGGTAAGACTCCCTCTCCTTCCCCTTACTTTCAAAACTACTAATTATTTTCATACTTTAAGATTTAATTTTTCATATAACTACCTTCATCTTCATTTTCATCTTATGAATCAAACTGAAGATTAAATTCTTCATCACTTTCTTTTTAAAATTGCTTTTCCTATTGACATTTTATTTCTCTAAACATTTTCAATTTTCTCCAGGCCTTTACTGATGTGAATAACAGTATCTTCTTCAAGATCACAAGCACAATTACAATTTGTTTAA